GTTTTTCTCCACTAACACCACTGATCCCTGGGCGCGCTGGGGTGGCTCCTGACATGGGCTGCCTCTCCTCAGCCTCCAGTGAGCATTTCCACTCATCCATGGACCATATCCAGTCTGTACTTTGCTCACCAGCCGAAGGGGCTGGCTTGTTTTTGGTTTGAAAAGCTACAGCATGTTGAAGGATGCCAACCTGTCCTCACAGTCCTTGTTCTAGTCCCCCTCTCAGCTTGTTCTTTCGAGCTAGCAAATACTCAGTGCTGCAGTGAATGTAAAAAACCACAAAACACACCAGTTTAATTGCTCGGCTTGCACAGGGAAACCGGCAGGTTCTTAAGAAGCAGCCCCACAGAAGGTTCTCTGCTTATTGTCCCGCTTGACCCCCAGCTTGGCTGCCCTTGGGCAGGCGGGCACCCTTACCTTGGTCCTGAGAGGGGTGACGGGTACATCTTTAGTGGAGACGCAAAGCAGCACGATGCCCGTCAGTCCTGCTATGATCACCAGCCAGGGGGGAAGGAGCTCACGCCAAGACATGAAGTGCTTTCTCCTTTCGCCAAGAGTCAAAAGAGGAAGCAGCAGAGCAACAAACTGGCAGCAGCTGCTTTTTACAATCTTTAAAAAGAGGAGAAAGGCGGGGTTGGGGCCAGGGTCTGACTTCAGCCCAGCCCCAAGCCACAGGGACCACAGGGAGCGCGTGGGCCAAGCTGTGATGTGTCAGGCAGTTCTCCTTTCCACCGCCCCACACAATAAATGAAACGACAACTTTGTGCCCGTTCCAGTGCGAGCTTTGCGAAGGCATTGGTGCAACCTCGAAACTGCCCCGGGCGACGGGGTTGAGGTAAACAGAAATGTGGGGTGAACTCAGCTGTGTAACAAGCAGAAAGCAGGCAAAACTCATCCGTTTGGTATTCTGAGCCTGGCAGTGCTAGCTGCCAAAATTAGAGCGGGGAAACTCCTTGTTGCGGGGTTTGCCTTATACCTGAGAGTTCCAGGGCGGACCTGGGGCGCTTCCCCACAAGCATGTGTCCATCGGGCACTCTGCCCGACTCCTTCAGACTGCTCCTGCCTCCTCGTTTGCTCTCAGGCAGCACCCGGGACAGGAAAACTTCTGCACCTTTGGGTTTCCACCCGCAGGAGACTCCGGCTGGTTTGGTCTTTGCTGTAGGGCAGAGACAGCGGGGGCGGCTCGGGTCTTTTGGCCTCAGAAAGCCACGGTCAGCATAGGTGACCATATGCTCCTTCCTGAAAGCCTCCCCATCAAAGATAACCAACCCCCAGACTTCACAAAACACGCACCACATTCTCCTTTCTGGTGACACAAAACTGGAATTTCTGAAGGAAAATCTGTTAGTCCCAGGAGAGGGGCTTCTTTTGGACTGTCCCCATCTGTTTCCTGGTGATTTGGTCTAGGAATAAAAGTGTAAATAAAATAGGAATAAAAGAATAAATTCCTTTAAAGAAATGTATTCTTTAGACTGTTTATTGGCATCTTGTCCTCACCATAGCACTTCGCCAGCCAGGCCGCTGTCTGCAGAATAAAGGAATGACCCCTTCTTGGTCACGCAGGGTATTTATTTGGAGATGCATCTCTCTGTCTTAAGAGTTGTTATAAGCAAAGTTCCAGAAACTACTCATTTTCCTGCAGTTTAGACTCCAGTTGAGATTTTGCTGCTCAGCAGCCAGAATGCATCTGCCGATGTCCTGAAGTGCCAGGACAAGGGTCAACAGTTTTAAACTGAAATAGGGTAGATTTAGATTACACACAAGGAAGAAATGTTTTAGGATGAGGGTGGGGAGGCACTGGGACAGGTTGCCCAAAGCAGCTGTGGATGACCCATCCCTGGAAGTGTCCAAGGTCTAGTGGAAGGTGTCCCTGCCCACAGCAGGGGCTGGACTAGGTGATCTTCCAAGGTCCAACCCACACCATTCTGCGATTCTTTGTTTGGCTTACACTTGGGCTGACAACTCTGTACTTTACAATGGGGACATGGATTAAATTCCCAAAGTGCTCAACCTCCTCCTCCCCCTGCTCTCACGTTGGCCTGGGGGGACAGGCAGGCTTCCCCGCGCTTCGCTGGCGATGATGTGTGCAGCAGCTCAGCCGCTGCAGTGCCGCTAACAAAACAAGTGCCCCGGCATCTCCCAGCTCGAAGAAATGCTGCACTGGGCATGCATGGAGCTGCTCGCACCAGGGTGGTTGGCTGGTTACTCATGCCCATGGGCTGGTCTTGGTAGTTTACATCAGTATCGCGATATATCATCAGCACCTAAGGATATCCGTCAGCTGCCGAGGAGCAGCCAGATCCTGCTGTGGTCAGGCCAGTCGTCCCGCAGAAACCACCCGCCGGCAGAGCAGCGTGCGCCTCAGACCATGCTTCTGCTTGGCCTGAGGTGATGGAGCTGGGTGACGGAGAGGGGAATTGAGGGACCTGGTCGCAGCAGCTCGTGGCTGGGAATGGCGGAGCGTGTCCGTTCTCCCGCCTGGATGTCAGGGTTCACAGGGGTCTGTTGACAGACCCAAGTAGTTGGGGGGGCCTCTAAATTACACAGGTTTTGCCTCAGTCGCTATCCTAAGTGGCAGGCAGATGCCGGAGGGGTTTCCGCGATGGGTTGGACTGATGCCATCCA